TTGAGGGTAGTGAATTGGTTAGAGGTAGGTGAGATGATCGGCTTGCCGTTTCAGTTCTTTGTTTGGTTGAGGCCCAACTTCGAAGTGACGGATTCCACAGCATTTAAAGCAAAAAAGAAAGGTTCCAATGAAGTTTAACCACATTACCTTTCGGTTTCGTCCTGGAAGTCAAACCATTAGTCAAAACAAGGCTAAGGGCAAAACCTTTCTTGTGAAAATGAGTTTTATTTGCAACTGCATCAGAATAAACTGAAAATCATTAGATTCGCACTTAGCCTCGCTTTAAAACAGAGGCTTGGGGAAATGGCCTATTAAAACGCATAGAAAGACATCAGTAAAGGTAAGAAACTCACCTGATCTTTAGGAAAGTTATATAGCAGTTGTTTAATGGTGTTGTGGTAATTCTCTTGAAATTGAATTCTGGCCCACCTCACGCAGTCAGCAAATTCACCAGGTCTTTCATCGACAAGGCACTTCTTAACGCTTCCGTATATTTCTACCTATACGTTGGCAACAACCGGTTACAAAAAAAAAAAATTAAACGCTTGTTTATAGTGGAACGTGCAAATACTTAAAAACAAATAATTCAAATACAACATAACAGGATTTAAAACCCCAACTGGCAGGAGACAACCAGTTGGCTATTTACAAGCATGGCCGAGGATTTGAACTTGGGACAACCGAGAACAAATCCAGCAAGTGGCCAGAGCGGGACTTGAACTCAGGGGCTGCCGGATTGCGAGTCCGACGCCCTGACCACTCGGCCACGCTGCCTCCTGAAATTTAAGAAAAAAATAGGATTAGTTAATCGCAAACAACAGGTTTTTTACAACAAAGCTCTTCCTTCTCTGGCTTTAGCCTGAGTCTATGTTCACAATATACCGGCTAGCTTTTACGCCGGAGCGAAAACCATACCTTATAGTGTTTCTGTTCACATATAAGAACGGTGATTTCGGCGCGATTTCTGCAACGGAGCGAAGCGCCGCGCCGGTCTCGAAAGAGGAGCATCATATTTCGGATTGGTTCTGTGTTACACTTGGTGCAGTGTGAACAGGTATTCGAACTGCAGCGGAAGTGGATAAGTAGGAACGAGGCCTGAAATCCACTGAGACGGAAGTAAATATTCCGATTGGGCTGCCTTATAGTTGGAAGGAAATTTTGTCGTTTTTGCTTTGTTTTAATTTGTATTTGGGCAATTTTCAAGTAAAAGCCAAACCCCTCTTTAACGGCCAACCATTCCGACGCGCTGTTTTGATTTTACGTGTTCCGAACGACTTTTAGTTCCAAACCCCTCTGCCAACCACTGCTGTTGTTTGATATAGCGGACATCAAGACGATGAGCTATCCAGCATAGTGTGAACAAAGCCTGAGGAAAAAAGTCGATATTTCCCGACGCCACCACTGGTTTCCCCGCGAAATGAAAGTCCAAGATAGCAGGTAATGCGGATCGCAAAGAAATGCACGAGAACCGCGTTGGGACTGGGACTGGGACTGTATGGGAGCCTGGGACAAGCTAAATTCCACACTGATGACGCGTCACTACCCAGAACTGTGTAGTGCTTCTGGTTGGTTGAAAGTTTGCTTCACCCAATCAGAAGCACTATCCAGATGTGGGAGTCGTTCCTGGCGTCGCGAAATGTCGGCTAAATCTCATGCAACATGATCTTGCAGAGTACAATACCTAAATCAAAACCGCAAAAGACATAGACGAACGCCATGTGAACTTCTGGAAAGCGCAGTAAAGGATAAGCATAGTACATATTTATAATGCGGGAACAGAAAGCACCCACAACATAGCTACAACTCAAAATTAAGTTGAGTCAAAGGAAGGAGTAACACAAGCACAATGTAAAGATTACTGACAAGCGTACAGATGTTCAAGGTGGTTAAACTATACTAGCCCTCTCAAATGAGATAACCAATTGAGGAGCGTTTGGTATTTACTCATGGGCATAAATTAATGATAACACGACTTACAGCTTGCATCCCTGGGAGTTTGTCTGTTCTTTCAATGAACTTGGGGTCACTAGAGTGAGGTAAAGTGAAAGTATTTGATTAGTGTCTTTTGTAAACTTCACTGGAAAATTTTTCTTTTTACAAACATTATCTGGAAAAAGAAGAATTGTTCGGCACTTTTCATGGTTAAGAATATTACAAAGTTTTTGTTGGAAAAACATAGCAAATTCGACTCCAAGAAGGACAACAAAAACAACAACAGTTGCCAACATAAACTAGATGAAAAATAATAGGCATGACATCATATTTTTAAGTATGCGAAGTACTTATCAAGCTTTTGATCGCTCTTTCGTGGCCAGGAAACCACAGCAGCACACAAAACAAAAATAGCAGTCCTAAGAATTCATATCATAAGAATTTAATTTCGTTTTAGTTGCCGATTACTCAGATCTCATCTGTACCTACCCGATATACTGGTTAACATTCTCTGCGGGGATAGTGAACTCACCCTCAAATGCATCTCTGGCCCACTGAAAAATTTTAAGCCATGTTTACAGTTATTAATCAAAATTCTATAGATCTAATGAACACAAAATGAATGATAACTTCAACTAGACAGCAAGGCCTACATGACACATGGCCACAATAGAGGCGTTTGTTAATATTACGGTTGCAGAACACTCCTTTATTTCGGCTCAACATCCCAGCACGTGAAATCACAAAACTGCTATCGCAATGTTTCGTACATCTCAATGCCAAACTCGGGATCCGCGATGATACGGATGAAGATGTCAAGGCATTAACAGGTGCTGCTAATCAGCAAGATGAATTACAAGGGGCTATATTTAATCAAACTTTAGCCAAAATGTATGCTTTAAACTTTTCAACGCTTAAAGATCTCAGGCTGGACAGTCCTGATTACAGTGAAATTCCCAGCCCGTTCTGGCTAGTCAGTTCTTGGTAAAGGCGCGCCTACGCTGCACACCAACCATCTTCAATAACAGTTACCCAGCACCATGGTTCATACCTGTAGGGTATGTTCGATCGCATTTGGAAAATTCTTCAAAGTACAAATGGGAATTGATTTTTCAGGTGGATCTTGTGAAGAGCTGTAAGATTCTGTTAGGCGAGGAAGCACAACCTGAAAAAATGCACGTTAAAGAATAAGAGCGATTTTTAGCTGCAGGTTTCGTGGGAAATAATAAAAAAATAAACTGGAAAATGAACACAGCCCACGTGAAAAACGCAATAAAGGGAAGAGGCAATGGGCAAAGTGCAAAAGCGAAAAGGATTTCAACGTGAAGCCGACAATAGATTGACGTAATTTTAATCTTCCAGAGCATATGCCAATAGGAGGTCACCTGGTCACGTAACCAATGCTTCCGTTAAACAATGAGTTTGAATCTTGCGGATGCCAAAAATTGACAGAGCACATTTTGGTCACGTGACCAGGTAGGAACTTACTCATTTAAAGAAAATGGTGCGGGTTTGAAAAAACCAAATCACTACTATTTTGTTTAAGATATGACCCACTAATCGTTTTTCAAAGGCAAAATCATGTAACTTTCATTTTCATAAAAACGATGTCACATGATCTCTTAGTGCAAATGGCCTGTAGAACATATTTCCTTCAATGCCTTCATCATGGTTGTTCGTTACTTAATAAACGTGAACAAGTTACTCATTACGGCACAACCAATCAGAAATTTGCAAACGCCTGTGGCCGCAGAAATAAACAAAAGGGGGTTCTTGACAGGCGCCCCCTTTTCCCTTCTCCCCAATCCCCGTCCCTTTTTCCCTTCCTCCCAGCCCATCCCCCCTCCCCCCGGCTCCCTTTCGACGTTCACCAGGCAGGCTAAATAAACCTATCTTGAGGAATGCTCTTTAAGCCGTTCACTAAACTCACAGTTAATGTTTCATCATGCGTTAAACACTTGGTTGCGTCTGAGTTCAACATCGTAAAGTTCTAAAATCAACGACCTCCAAAAACAAACGTGAACTCCGGAATTCATGCAGGCCAATAAGTCCTTGGTAACGATGCCCCAGATGGCACATGTAGCTACCGGAGAGTTGACTGTTTTCCTTTCTCGAAAGCTTGTTGGCAGGCTACGAGTTTGCACTCATACTGCACAGGGTCCAGAGGAGATGTGTTTGTCGTTAGAACATCAAAACCCGTCGAAAACCTCTGAAAAATGGGTTATTTTGATCGCGTTACAGTTTCGTTACACATTCTATAGACCGCAAACCAAGAGACTGAGGGCTCGCAAGCCCTTCGGGCGACGTGCCGTGCGCCAGCGAGGATGATAATATGGCTTGCGGTTATTGATTTTCAAAATGGCGAACAACAAAGTCGATCTCGGTCAGATAAGAAACGAAGAAATCGTTTACAGTGGATTCATAAAAATCCCATTGGGCTAATTAATCGTGCTAAGCGACAGGTGTAGACAGTTTTCAAGGTGAGACTTTGAATAAGTCATTCACACGAAACTCCTCTGGACCCTGTGATACTGCAGTCAGACTAAACCTCATGAACTGAACAAGAACTACTGACTTCAGTAATTTCTTATTTTGAAGTTTCTACCTGTACATTGCCCTTCGTTCCTAAAGTTCCTGATTCCAGTAGTGGCTTGTGATAATAGACACACCGTCTGTCCATGTACATTCCTGAAAAAAAAAAAAAATTATGTATACGATCAACTCTCTTAGCTAATACCGACTCCTTTGGAACCAGCACTTGTTGTCCGTCTTACAGAGAGTCGAATATAGGGGGTAAAGAAAGCCAGGGAGCACCTGCATGTGTCCGTTTTACCGAGGTGTTCGTTAAGAGAGTCGAGGCTCCAGGTTGTACTCTTCTCTTTTTTGGTCACCGGGAATACATGTATTCTCAAAATAAAAGAAACAGTGGAATACTTACTGGCATCCACGTTGTCCAACGCATTTGTCACACCATCAAGTGCCTCAAAGAAATCATCATTGTATGTTTCTAGCACTGTTAAGGAAAACTTGCGATGACCTACCAAATAACTAAATTGGCAATAATTACCAAAATAATTGTAATTAATGGTCTAGCAAGGCTGTAGGGAACAAAAAAAAAAAACGCGAGGGCCCTTGAATTAGCCATTGTTTCCCCCGAATGTCACCTGGCCTGATCAAGGAGTCTAGATAGTAAAGCCAGCGCAAAGCAAAACGACAGGGAAAAAACTTAAGGCGAGAGGGTGGGGGCAGTGGGGAAAGGGAGAGGGAGAGGGGGAAACGTATGCAAACCCTTCGTAACCTATGGTATAATACCATACGGATGGATTATTAAGGAAATTTTCAATGCTCGAAAGTCTATAACCTTGTTTGTTTGCGATGCGACAGCGATGAAATCATACATCAGTCCGTCTTGAAAACGTGGTGGGGGCAACACGGTGAAGGTGGAATATTATTCAGGAAAGGGGTGGAAAATATATCCCCACAATCTTACTAAGAAATTACTGGCTATAAACGATCGAATTATAGAAGTTCTTTGCAAAAAAAATGTACACGTAGCAAGCTGAAAATATGATAATGAGCCCAAAAGAGGATCAATTTAGGTTTCAGGAAAACTGCCCAACTACCCCTCCCTTAAGACAACATTAACACTAACTTCTCATTTAGGGCAAAATGTTGGCTTGGGGGATAGGTGGGAAGTTTTCCAGAAACCTAAACTGATCCAAACATTCCCCATCCCTCTCCCTCTCTTCCGCTCCCCATTTTGCGTCATTCCCCACCTTGTTAGCGCCTGGAACGGCTAAGTATTACCTCGACATGTCTCCTTGCAAGACGTGAATTCTAAGAGCCCACTTCTTCTGCTTCCTCTGCTATCTATAGGCAAAAGAGGGCACTACTCGTGGTCTCCCTCGGTTAATAGTTATCACTTGACTGGCCAATTAGAGTGAATTCATTTCTAAATTCATGTAACAGAGCATGATTGGCAGTGTTAAAGGATACTTTCTGTTTCTGGGCCAACTCTGTTTTGGTGAGCCGTAATATTAATCTCAGGATTCATTACCTTGACCGCCCTCGCTGCAACCTCTGATTTCAATTGCTAAAACAACACCAAAACAATGATAGTACTACAAGGTGGAAAGAGGACAGGCTGTCTGTAAATAATTCCATTTAAGTATAAAATGCCAATTTATAAAACCTGACTAAAGAAACTGCGGTTTTGTAGTGTTTAGGCAAACCAGTGGTGTACTCAAAACAGTCGCTAAAAAGGTATTCCCTCTATAGAACAAGGTAGCCTGCGAGCAGCCTCCTCCTATTTGGGCGAGCGAAGCAAGCCGCGCGAGAACGGGCGAGCGAGCGGCGAAACCGTGCCTCCTCTGGCGTGCCTCTCACGCGCCTAATTTTCACGATATCCCCCAAATGGACAGCTCACTCGAAGGCTAAGGACAAGGCTGGGTCTAAAACAAGGCACAATGTACATTCACGCTGATGTCAAACTGGTTCGAACAAGTAAAGAAGTAAAGCCGTACCCACCTCCAAAGAGGCAACCACTGCTAGGGTTGTTCAGTTGTTATTTTATTACTATTTTAGGCTTCACATGTGATTTTGCATTGTATTTTTGGTCTTTTTAATGTAGTTCTTAAATTTTAGTATTGTATTTTTATTAGGCTTTTTAAATGTAATAGTTCATGAAAATTCTTGATGTAAATTAACTTTTTTTAAGATCCAGTGCCCCTATGGAGACCAGCCTTAGAGCTGAATGGGCTACCCTGTGTAAATAAACTTTTACTTTACTTTACTAGATCCCACCCACTCATTCCTCTCAAACGTTTTGGCAGCAGGCAAGCCAATTCTTGAAGGAGTGTTCACTCATTCATTCCAGGCCTTGATTGTTCAAATGTTGGATAGCACATCCAAGGGATGGATCACTATCCAGTGAATAAGTATTAGGGAATGCAATTGCCTTATACACTGGATAGTAATCTATCCACCTTTTGAACAACTAGGACCAGACCTTAATGTTGACTCTAAGAGAAAGGGTCTTATTTTCCTTAGTGGTTAAACTGAAATATCAAAATGTGCTCAAAGGTTTTGTAGGCAATAGAAGTAGCTCGACTTGGGTTGTTATACTCTAAATAATATTCCAGGAAGATAAATTTGGCAAATTTTGACAAGAGCCCACCTTCCATTGTGCTCAATTCAAACAAGTCAGCACTCAGTTTGCAGCTCAAAAAATTGACTAGATCGTGAAATGTTGGTTGCTGAAAATATTTGTGTGAGTTGGATGAAATTTGACTTTACCTGGTTTATTTTTAAAGTGTGTAATATAAAAGTAGCCTGCAGGGAACAGGCGCCTTTTTCGGCTCTTGTTTCACCTGCTGAGAAAATACAGGAGCCGAAAAAGTGTCTGCTACCTCAAGCTATTTTAAAAGAGGTTTGTCTATCACTATTTTTAGATAATGAAAGATTAAATGTTTATTGCACCAGCCTCACCTGTACATCTCCTGGTCTGAAAAGAAATTGCCTGTTAAGGTTGGATTTTTCAATGGTGTCCATATCTGTGACAAACAGCTGCCCAGCATCACTGCAAGCTAAACCCATCATGGCAAAATTTTTGAGATGTTCACATCCAATAGCACCAGCACCAACCTGTAACAACAACAATAATAATAATAGACACTGTTTTCAAAGGAGCTGTCGGCTGTCGCATCCTGCAGCCACCGTTCTTAAAGTGACTCCCTAGTAAAAGAACCTAAAATAGATTGTAGATGAAACTTGGTACACTGATGTAACAAATCAAGATGATAAAAAGGTAATAAAAAGTGGGGGTCACCGTGCTCGTTTTGACATCACAATGCTGACAAATACGGCTATTTTGGACCCTTTGACAAAAACCGCCCGCAGCCCAAAACTAGACAAAAAGGAAAGATTTTTTCAATGATGCATGTGGTATCGCAAGGAATTTAACTTTAATGTATTGTTTATCCACTTATGTACCAGAAAAATGCCTTTTAATGCCCTTGTTTTTACTTAATGCTCCAAAGTAGAATTAAATTGGACATGTGCTATTCGACACGTGATAGCTCAATCCGTACAATTTAGTAAAATTGCCGAAAAACTGAACATAGATTTGTGCCAATTTTTTTCTCACTGAAAGGAAGCACTGTCTTTATTAAAATTATGAAATAAAACATGGGGGTCACCGTACTCGTTTTTGCGGTAGAGCTGCAGAAAGTGCGCACCAAATGCATTTTCCTTGATTTTTGAGAGAGGACTGGGGCGAGTTTCAAAATAGAATGTATGTGAAAGGGGGAAGAAAGTATTAAAAAATCCGTTCTTACAGAATTTACATTGAGATATCACATTTAGGACACAATGTGATAAAGAAAGCATTTAAATGAAAATCAAAGTGAATAAGCACAAATTAAACATCCACTATCGAGGTTCTCCGTGAGGAAGTCGAACTCAGCAACACGCGTATGCTTACGTTATGCACATTCCCACCACATTGAGTCTCACCTCGGCAAGAAACAACCGCAAGCAAAAATTGCAATAGCGTTTCTCTCCGGCTAACTTCATTTTAATAATGTTACTTCACATGCTCTTTTTTATGGAGGCCATCTTGTTACGCGCAGTAAGAGATGCGCAGTGCAAAACCAGGGAATCACCTTAATTATTGCAATGCCTATTTTCCATGGCAAATGTTAGCCAGCGTAGCAAGTGTTACCACTCGAATATTGCAAAAAAGTTGGAGCGAGAGCAAAAAAAAAATGGAAGGGGTTGGGAGAGGGGAGATTTGTTCATAGAATAGAACATCATGTCTGTTTCCTTCAGACAAAACGATACTGTTAAGGTACTGGTACTCACAATAAAGTACTTCTGCTCTGACAGCTTCTTTTGAAATTCCTTTCCAAAGACTGCAATTTGTCCATCATATCTTGATCCGGTCTAAAGAGAACATCATCATCATAAGCATGATTGTCTCTTACAAAAATAAACCCCAGAAGGTTTAAACAGTCTTACTGGTCACAAAACAATCCGCACTTATCCTCAATTTTCCCTTTCTTTCCTAATACATGTATGTTTGTCTGGCAATAGCAAAATTCCAAAAAAAAGTGATATTAATTTCACTGTTAGCGTTCTGTTGAGTATAACCAAATGCATGAGCAATAAAGAAACAATGGAGTTACTAAAGAAAGGACAATTGTAAACGTTTGGCATTAGGGAGCTTAAGTATTAAAAGACGTTTTTGAGTGACACATGTCAAAAGGAAGTGAGGCGTACAAATATGTATTGCTTAGTGTCTTTTCTCTTATATAGATGATTCGCCTAAGAGTTTGAACCAAACCTAGCTGCCCAAGGAAGCAAAAAGTCCACTTCCGGTTGATGTGTGTCACTCAAAAACCCTGTTGTTTCAGCTCCCTATTAATGTTTGAGAAACCCACTGAATGATTGGCATAACTGTTGACTCCCATTATATGATCATGAAGCCTCATTTCCTTGGTACTATGAGCTGAAGCCTCGGCCAACAACACAACACAACAATGCTGTACAGTGGCAACACACCTAGGCCAGTGGTCACTAGAAAACTAGAGCAGTAGGAGCTGCAACCTAGATCAGCAATGCGTTGCAGCGGCAGCACCACCAGCCGAAGCCTAAGGCCAGCCACGCACAAACCCAACCAACTGAATGACCTCTGTACCTCACCTATCTCACCAGCTTTTATGGAGCTATGCAAAAGCTTTTCCGATAAAAGTTCAGTTTAATTGTAGCACCATAGGATTTCGTTCACAGATTTTAAAGTTGGAGAGAAAAAAAAAAACAAAAAAAAAAAGACAAAATGTCTCCATACATTGACGAGGAGTAAATGGGATACTGTAGTTCAGTGAAATAAGTTTTTACCAAGTGAGTATCTTCAGAGATGCCAAAAAGGTTATACATGGTACATGTAAAATGTTTGAATTAGGCTTATTGATTATGAATAAGTTTTCACTATTAATTTTTATCCTTAAATGAATGTTATCTCACTTGTTGGCATGAGGCTTCTGGTATTTCTCCTTCCTCTGGCAAGCATTCAAGACTATCAAAGTACAGAAGTTGAAAGATAGGACTAAACTTTCCACTGCAGGCCTAGAACAAGAGAGGCAAGTAACAGTACACTAATGTAGTGACATTCATTGACAACTTCCTTGATCACGAGTCAGAATTTTCTCATTGATATAAACACTAATGGGCCTCAGGGTGTGAAGAAAGTCAGTTTTACAGCCAGCCATTCGGGCAAGCTGTAGCTAGCATGTACTAGCCCACAAGTCATTTCAACTAGCCCCAAAACCCTTTTTGATTTGCAGGATTGATTACAATCCTTCTGTGATTTGAATTTTTCCAAAAAGCAGTACTGCCTGTCGGGCAAGTTAAGAACAAAAATCACTCAGTGGCCCAATAGCAAAATCCACTAGCCCCGGGTTATCGGACATGACTTTCTTTGCACGCTGGGGCCTGCAAAATTAATAATGGTCATGATAATGATAATGACAACAATTATTTTTTTGTTGTGTTAGATATGTGCTTGACAAGCCTTTCCCATTGGTGGAAATAAGTTCTTTCTAAGTCTGTCTGCAAAACAGTACCAAAATCCTTGTTCTAGGTCCTCACCTGTTTACGGCCAGGATTTGAGTATACACCATGATTCACGGGTTAAAAATACCATTGTTGATTTGACAATGAAGTTAACAGGAAATTTGAAACACACTTCTGATAATTCATTGAGTCCATTGGGATCCAGAACAAGGATCTAGGTACTGCTTTGCAGACGTTACTAAATGAGGTTAGGTTGCATTTAGCTCGGTGACACAGACTAGTGTTAAATGTACTGAAAAAGACGAGAATAAAATGGTCAACAGAGATTTGGGAAGTAGTCAAAAGAGTGTACTTGACCCAGGGGTGGGAAAGGTACACTAGGCTGACGTATACCTTCATAACTTCCTGAGCTGTAATTCCTCCAATAACCCCCTGCATTGGACAAAGATCACCTCTTGCATTGTAGGCCAGTTGTGTCAGAAGTTGCTCATCAACTTCATCCACCTATATTATTTTTCAGTAAAAGAAAAAAAAATTAAGAAAGGAAAAGACAAACAAATAACAAAAACAGGTTTGGGGAAATTGCTCAAGATTACATGTACATTTAATAACTTGCCCATGGTTGAATATTTGGGAAAATATTTGAAATTTAACTTTCAGGTTTGAGTTACCTGTAAACATATCTTTTCTGAATTGAGCCGTTTGGCCAGTGAAATGAACTTTTTGGCATCTTCCTGTGTGGTGTGGAAACAAAAACAGTTAAAAATATAAACCTTAAACCTTGCAGCGTTTCTGTGTATGAGTACAAGACAATTACCGGTATAGGTACAGCCATAAATAAGGGTAGATTGACCCTTACCCCAGAGCAATGGCTAGGCTAATAGATAAAATGATGATGCCAATTTCATTCTATGAAGAATAACTGTCAATACTTAGAAAATTACCTGATTTCTGGGTCTAGGGAGAACTCCATATTCTTTTACAAACTTATGCAGGGCCTAGTCAAAAGAGCGGGAAAATTAATAGAAATATATCAAAACAAAAATTTCATTAACACTAGAAGACTATTAATTTTCTACAACATTCACTCACTGCATATCCCAAATGAAGCTGTGCTGGCCTTTCCATTTTGCCAAAGTCTGTAAGAACAAACTCTGGTGCTGTGAGGGAATCCCTAAAAGATTTCTAGTGAGAGAAAGAAAAAGCTAGGCAAGTTAACAATCATAATAAACGGGTCAACCATTAAACCCCCTCACATTCTACAGTTACCTACATGTACCAACAGCGCAATGTACAAGATAAAAACAAAAGAATTTAAAACGCAACGTTTGCAACAGACAGTTTGTATTGTTGTCACTTTTTCACAGTTTCACACTTAGAGCGATGCCATTTTATTTACCTTTGCATCACAATGATCACCATAATAAAAACAGGCAAACAAACTAACCTACATTATAAGTCTAATAAAAAAGGCACACTGTATAAAGTTTTCACAAATGCTATTAAAGTGCATATGCAAGTTCACATTCCAGTAGTGAACAAATAATACACACAAAAAAAGTATCAGCTTGCATGGAATGATTCTTTGATTGTTTGGAATGTCCTTATTATTAAAAGAAAATGGGAAAATAGGAAGTTAATGCATCATAAATATTGTACCACAAATTTCATACGGTATTTTTCCTGACTGATTATATCACCATCAAGAGACACAGCCTGAGTACCCAGGTATCACCAATACTGAATGTGTAAGGGCCTATAACGAATAAACAGAATTACATTTAGTCACTCAAGTTAAGATGACAAATATATATGCAAATACATGTAAATATATGTAGTAATGGGCTATGTGTCCAAAGGTGGATATTAAAATGCAGTTAAAAATGTTTTTTCTTGTCAGCTGGCTTCCAAAAGGGGCAAGAAATGAAGTTTAATCACACTGAGTAAAACCTGGGCACAAGTTTCAATTTAGGGTATCAGTTTTCACACTCACCACAAAATTCAGTTTTTGTTTATTGCCAAACAGTGCGACAGTACTTTCCCACCCTCATACCCTTTGTTAAATCAAAACAAAAGTGTGAATTAGTTTGACAACAGTGTATTGTTAAATCAAGTTCAGGACAGTTTTTTTTTTCTATATTTTCTTTGTTTATTCTAAAAATTTTGTGATGGTTGTGATTAAAGTGCTGTTGCTTTGTTGTGTGGCAGACAAATCACATTCGGTGTGTGAGAAATAATAATATTACAATCAGTCCTTAATCACCTAAAACTTTTATTTCTCGAGGTTCACATTGATTCAATTCTGTCATTCCCTGAAACACAGAAGGAAACATTATGCATCACACAAAATGATGAAAAAGAGGAATAATATAGTCAATATTGATTTTTGACAATTGGATAGAGAAGCCTGCTCAAAATTTTTCCATACATTCATTTTTCTTGAAACAAAAACAACTGGTTTGAAGGCAATGTACTGTGAACTTTCCATTTGTTAAATAATTGCTCAAAGTCTTAACCCATTCCGCCTCTGGAATCAACCGGCCTGCGGCGATCCAGGTCCTCACCTCAGGTAGGACGCCAATACCCGTCACCAAGGGACAACTTTTCGCTAACTTGTGCAGGGTGAAGAGAGATCTTTCAAACCATACCAGAAGGAGCGCCAATTCATGTCATGTACTGAGAAAGAAGCAAAAACCATTGTGACAAGGACCTTGAAAATTCCACACATGAAAATCTTGTTCCATTACCACCTACCTTCCTTTCACCTAATCCGCCTAAGATCCCAAAAGCTTTCCAAAACTCTTCCTACCAAATGAAGCTCACTTGTCGCCCAGTAAGAGAAAAAATGAGGCAAGAAAAGTCAAAAAGAAGGGAGAGGAGAAAGCGAAAAGTAAAGTCAAGATCGTTGTGTCACTTTTAAAACCAAAACTATGTCGAATTGCATATTCTCGAGTTTCCTGTAAGCCGGATATTTGCAGAGATCTGGATCAGAAGGCGTCGCTAAGCGTGCCACCGTAAACCGTTTGTAAGTTTAGCTCTCATAGCACCACAGTGGTCGAAACCATCGACTAGCCAAACGCTGCAAATCTCCAGGAGCTAATGGTTAATTCCATAAAAATTTTTAAATAGTAGCTTAAAATGCTTAGAAAACAAACCAACACACATTGAAAGAAATGCGTGGTTTCATTATCTGCAATGGTAGACGCCCTCTCTCGTCGCCCGGCCGAAGGACGCCAGGAGGAATGTCTGCATCACACAAAATTCCACACTGATGACGTGTAGAACCAATGTTTACAGCACAAATCGTAGTCAGGTTCCAGATGCAAATTTGTTCAATTTTACCGCTTCTCCTGGTCTATTTTGGTGTGTCGTGTTCATGTGCAAAATGAGCTTCAGCAAACTAAAAACGCTCTTCAGAGAAGACCATATCCAAATATTGACTGTTTTAGAGATTCATCGCGATTTTTACATTTGACCTTTTGCGCCTTGTCTTCATGTCTGTCATTCGCGAAACATGAAGCAAAACAATGAAACTACTCCGTCGACCAATTAGCTCTCTGAAAGTGATTCCACACAGATTTTAGCCACCAGGTACGGGAATTTCATTGAGTAGTAAGACGCCCTCACAATGTCCTCGAAGGTACTAGAGGAGAGAGGGTTCCTCGTCACTATGGTTTCATTTGAATGGTAACACCACAGGACTTCATCCACAGTAAAAGTGCTACTGAAGAGGTTTCAATGGCATTGTATTATGAATGGACACACCATGAGATTTCTTCATAATCTCAGTTAGAACTACATATTACATAACATGGATTTTGGGTATTTTGACAACAGGCTTTGATGCATTACAAGATGCTGTGTTTTCCAAAGCCATGTCACACTGTTAACTTAGGGGGGTAGCAGTTGCATAGCAAGTCAATTGATGTCATAGTTGAAATGGAGTTGTTGAACAGGTTTTGCATGTGTGATTTTGCTAATTAAAAACTAAACAGGAACAATGGTATCAGGCAAAGACCACCTAAAGACCTTTTTCTTGTCAATGTTTGAATGAAATTGTAATTTAATAACTGTCTCTTATTACATGTAAAAATCAGCAGCTTCTGGCTTATTATTACCTGAACTTCAGAGAAAGTCACAAAATCACCAGACTCATAACCATGCCTTTGCTCATCAAGACAAGTTACAACACCTTGCTCATCCTAGAAAAAATTAACATTATTTATTACCTCATTCATTAGAGCTACATGTAAAGAACAAATTGCAATTGTACAAACTAAACATTACTGCAAAATTACAATGTAAATACATACAACAGAACCAAAAGTCACAAAAATCAAACGTTATAATAAAAATGTTCACAACTCAGAAGTTTGACTTTTGAAAACAGGGTGCATAAAACCTTTTGAATCCGAAATTCAAGACTTTTTCCAGAATTAATAATTTCTTTTTGCAAACTCTAGATCAGCAAATTAATCAGCAAATCATTGATGAAACCTCGGTACACTGCAAGCATACACACATGTTATGCAGACTTATGTAAAAGAGTTCTGAAACTTCCTCATTCTGTGATTGAATGTTTTGACTAAAGAAAAGAATAAGACAACTTCAAAAAAAAAAATTCACTTTTAAGCAATAAAGCCCATGCTGCAGGTTTAAAACTCCAGACTTTGCACTATGTTTCCCAGACTGGATTGTTGTTTTTTGGACTTTTCTCTGCCTGGTTTGCAAATTTCAAGACTTTTTTCAAGAATTCAAGACTCTCTACAAACCCTGTGAAAATCAAGAACAAGAATTGAGTCATCCGTGTACAGCACCATACATACCTTAGAAACAGAAGAAATCATGTTACTGACTGGCTGTTCCCCATTGGTATCTACCACTGTGAAGCTCTCACCAAAATCACAAAATATTTGACTGAAATGGATAATTTCAAAACATAATATTCAGCTACTGCATCACTTATCAAAGAAAGTACATTAATCTGGCCATCTTTCCAACAGTGAAGTCTAAAGGACACAGATGTTAAGGGACGCATGAAATAAGGCCCGAGGTGACTCTTCATGTAATGTTGAATTCTCCTTTTATTTCCAAGCATACATATAAAAAAAATTGAAAGGAAAACCATTATGTTTAACAGAAATCTGGATAAATAGTATTTTGGTTTTAACTTAAAACCTCTAAATTATTGTGGAGCAACATTCTATCCTGCCCTCACCACCAACTATACACTTTAAATAGCACCATGGAAATTAATAAAACCATGAACAGGTTAGCGTAGTAGTTTCTTTGTAATGCACACACTTGGCTCTGTCCCTAAGGCATCTTGAATAAACTCTAAATAGAACAGAGACTTACCCAAAAAGTCCCCTTGTATCAGCAATGATAAACTTGATACCCCGTGCATGACAGAAATCACCAACCCAAAGTTGCTCATCAAAGGTAGACTGTGTTAGCACTACAACCTATAGATATAAACTGGAAAATGAGAAGTTGCTCTTTGTTACGCCGGTAATCTTTTAGAGGACAGGTAGCTTGCAAACCAAACTGAACGCAGGGTTGTCGGAACAGCAACAAGAAGATTTATTCCAAAAATGAACCTAGTTTCCACGAAGTAAAACTCCACACCTGCACATAACTCGATAAACTTACACAGCCTCCGCCAAATGCACTTAACTTGATAAACTTACATTGCCTCCTCCAACTTGAATAAACACTGCCTCTGTTACACTTGACTGAACACGACTAAAGTCAAACTCTCTTCACTTGTGAAAACTAGTTAAAACTTTGCTTGGAATCGCCTACTTAAATATACTTTGATAATTAAAGAAAGATTACAAAATACACTGCTTTAGAAATGCTTACACAAGATCCTAAAATAAACAAACTATGAACTCTTGTGAAGCTTCTAGAAAGTCACGCTAGTCATGCAATACAATTTTTTGTAACACTCTTGCATTGTTTCTGCTGCCAGCTAAGGAGAATGGAAAGACGATGTGCATTTACAGATGAATTAATACAAAATGATACTGATCATCAAAAAAATGCAAAAGCCTTTTTCATATGATTGTTGACCTGAGAAAACAGCCAACATTGTGCAAGGCCATTGCTGGTTTCCCCGTGATATGATGTCGGAAGAACAAGCACCAAAATTCCATACTGATAACCTGACAATAATCAGATTGGGGTAGTGCTTCAAATTGGTTGAAGGAAATTTTCCTCACAGCACTACCTTCAGAAGTACATGCAATAACAAGACTTAGGTAGTAACATGTCATCAGTATGGAATTTATACACACATCCCTCAGAGGCCATTTTAAAAGAAACCAGTTACAATAGTTACATCCTAAATTGACAACTGTGTCTTTCAGGCTATGGTGAATGGAAGAATCCTGCTCTGCTTCCCACTTTAGGAAGAGGGATCTCGCCTAAGTAGTAGGTATCAAAAGTGATAGGGGATTGGAGGAAGGGAAAAAGGAAGGAGGATTCCAAGGAGAGGGTTACCTTCTCTTTTCCCTTTTGCCCTTTTTTCCTCTATCCCTGTCCTCTCCCCTTTTTGCACCTGCCACGCAGGCTAGGGGGGATCCAGTGATGATGATGAAGGAAGCTAAAGTACATTGTACGAGTACAACTGCAAATTACATCAAATAATGGCACCTCTAACAGGTGATAAATGATGTATTAAGTTACAGGATCTATGGATAACACCGTGCAGCAGTGCTTACCTGAAACTGTCCCAGGAATTTTTCTGTCAGCTGTTCGGTACTAACAGACATACGAACGTAACTGTTGAGCTCAGAAATCCTTTTCAAAGATACCTCTGCCCTGTTTTTTCCAATGTCGTCAGCTTCAAGAAAGAACTATAAGAGGCAAATGAAAACAAAATCTCCATTACATTTTCCTTTAAACTCTTACATAATCAGATCTACAGAGAGTACAGTATATGAATTAAGGAACTTGCTCTTTGCTTGCTGTTTTAGTGAAACGAAGTTACATTGTAGGTTAAAACTCACCTGAGAGGACAAGTCTGACATTTCAACATTTCCTGTATCATGTAGGGTAACTGACTTCACGCCACCCAAGACCACATTTTTAGCTGAAGGTACAAGATAATTATTTCAATGTTCGTGAGAGAAATTTAGAATTTAACCACCAAAGAACTAGTAATAGTGACATAAATAATTTTATTAGGTCAATAATTATTTAATGGTGATTTTTAAGGTAGAGCTTCTAAACTGACTTTCTGGTTATAATACACTGTAGGTACATCTGAGGACCCTTTCATTGATACTGGACATGTTTTGTATTTTGAAAAAATAATTTTGCAATCCTGAGTCTGCTGTTTTCTATGGATTTGCCCTACATTTAGATGTGGGTCTAATAATATTCCAGAGTACCTATATTTGTCTTGGAACAAAAGAAACAAGAAATCCTGCCACCAAACAACTCAGTAAAAAAAAGCCTGAAGTTAGGGGTTGACTGCAAATACATACTTCTTTCCTCGCTCTTCACCGCTAGGAAAGAATCGTGGGGGAAAGGGTCTGACAGTCAGCACCAAAAACAAATTTGGTCTGATTAATCTGGGTGTCATAGGTTTCCAGATGTTTCTCCTGGTCTATTGTTGTAAAGTTTTGAGTTCTTCTGCAAACAAAAATGCAAGCAGTAGCACAGAGTTTTTCAATAAGATTTTCAGTAGGTGGCAAAAGCTTTGGAGTAGGTAGAGAAGGAAAAATTTTGAAACCTGGGCCTCTTAGAATGCATTTCCAGCATTCTGGAGCAAAATTAGAGTGTTTGGACAGAACACAGACATTATTAAATTTTGGCTTTTTTAGTCAGCGACAGCACATGAATACTCTATTCAAACTGGGGTAATTTCTAAAGAAAAGTAGGCAGGAAGTTCACATGATATAGCCCGCGAATTTCGCCGACCACCAGCTCTTATTGAAAACCCTGATGGCAAAGCTCAAAAGCTTCTTGTCATCAGTACAAAATTTATAGGGCCAAAACATAGACGTCTTTCCTGCAAAATGTCTCTTGGAGTAGTAAGGAGTAAGGACAGACAGCTATACTTGCAGGGTAAGTTGGGGGGTATGTAGCTTACCTATTTCTACTCCAAGACCTTTTAGTCCAGATATAAGAACATTGGAAACAGCCATTTTCTTCATGGCTTCATGGCCAAGTACATACCTAGACAAAAATATGATGATACAGTTTCTAACTGCCTGTATTGTACCAATCAATTATTGATTGGTGCAATACAGGCAGTCGACGTGACATTTCATCAGTTGCTAACCTTTTTACCCATTTTTGCATTGGCTGTCATATGCTCAAAAATAAACTTCTCTAAAAACTGGGTTCTGGTACTTTGCTTAGCCCACGGGCATTTGGGATTTTTGCTGAAAACCCTGGTTTGAAGCTACAGTAGTCAAGCTGTGTTTGAGACACTACCTGGTGCCTTCGTTCCTGGTGATGTTTCCAACAATGCAACAGGTATGCATCCACATGTTGGTCGTTGACGAGAGTAAATGTGGCGTGGCTTTCATAGCATGTAAAGAAAGTAGTGTCTGATAGCCCGGGGCTAGTGGATTTGGCTATCGGGCTAGTGAATTCTGTTCTAAACTTGCCCGATGGGCAAGTGGAGTTTTTTGAGGAATTCAGATTACGGAAAAACTGTGAAATGCATTTGGGCTAGCATATATTAGCCTCAGCTTGCCCAAATGGCAAGCTGTAAAAATGACTTTCTTTGCACCCTGCTTTCGTCACTTATAAGGGACCGTCGCTTTATAGAGGCAAAAAATAACAGAATGCACTAGTATCGAAAGCCATATGTGTTTACTAAGTCAGCTCATTAATAAATAACCAGCTGACTCGCCAGTATTACTCTGAAAACACTTTTACTATTGCATTTTAAAGAAACGTGAAGGCCATAAAAGGACAAGATTAAAGGAATTTTTCTTCTTACAGTTGTCTGGAGTATAGCCCTTCATCAATCTGCATTTGGTTCGCCGCACTTCCGTTGCTGTCCATCGCCATGGTCTGTTCAGATGAAAGTAATATTTAAAAGAATAATCATTAAAATCCTGGCATAAATGCCAGCGATCTTCAATTTTTTAATTCTACTTCGTTTTACCTTCTCTGTGGAATGATTTTCTTGCGAAACTGAATTTGAAACACCACCCGAGTTAGAAGTTTTTCGTTTTTTCGCTGGAGGCGCTTCAATCGTCTCCTCAGAAAATGATGACATCTACTGCACTCATCAAACAAAATATCGGTTGTCTCTGTAGTCAAATTATCCCTTGACAATCTGCAGCTGTTTCTAAGGAGCTAAGACAAAGGGTTAGAGTCGGCAAAACCCGGAAAACTTGCGCACGAAATTTCAGTTTTCCAACGTGACTCCGCCGAGAAAGAAAGGGAAAGATAGCTTAGCGACCAGGCCTCTTCAAGCTTGGTAACCATAACTTTCCATCCCTCTGTTGTGACGTCAGACTCGCCATGACGAAATATTTTTAGGGAAATATGAGCCCATGATCCTTAAAGCCAGCTGTTTCCATGGAAACGGCAGTATGGAAAACAGCTCTCTTCTGGACTTTTAGAACCGTGTTCGCTCTCACACACTTGGTCTTTTGATTTGCAATACATACACATCTGACTGTTTTGAGCAAAAATGTCTGCAGCAGAGGAGAGTACAGATAATCAAGGTGAACATGAAAAGAAGAGCGAGGAAAAAGAGGTACAAGAAAGGGATCCACAAGGACAAGTAGCAAGCGATCTCCCGCAAACCGCCGAGGAAAATGGCGGCAAAGTCGACGAGGGTTCTGCTCAAACTGTGGAAACGAGAAAGGTAGATGAGGGAGAAGAAGTGAAAATAGAGAAGCAAGAAAATGTATCTGAGGTTGTAAATGTGAAGGATGATGCAGAAAATCCGGAGGAAAGTGAGGAAAAGATTAAAAACCCTTCGGAGGAACAGCAAGGCACACCAGTCGAAGAAGCTGAAGAAACAGCCATGTCTGTCGTTATTTCCGAACCTGATAAGAACGTTGAAACTCAAGAAGCAAATGCTCAAACCGAGGGGAGAGAATCACCCGTTGGAAAGGATGCAGATGTATCTGCGGACGCGCCATCTAAAGTGGATAACAGTGATAACAGAGTTATCGAGTCTCAGTCGGAGCGAGAGAGTGAAGCGCCTCCAGTGGCCCCTCCGACTTCACAGGCAGAAAGGTCCATTGATAGCGAGCTAGGTCATGCTGAATCTGCAGGAAACGTTAGGGATGGCTTCACTGCAAATGGTAAGCTTAATTGGTGATAAGTTTCGTATCAACAAAGTACAGCTGCTATACCATGGTACATTCTATTTTTTATTTACAAACCTCAAGGCCGATTTCCACGGAGAAATTTTACCTGAATCCTATCTTTTGGATTCTTTTTAATAGGATTCAGGTAAAATGTGCGGTATAAATTGGCTTTGAGTTTTATCTGACTCTTTTGAATTAAATTTATAGCCTGCATACATGTAGCAAGCGTTTCTGGGTGAGTTCGTCGAGGAAGTTGGGACAAGAGCCAAAAATGGAATGGCAGGGGAGGGGGAGGGGAGAGAAGAAAAAGCTTGCCTGCAAACCCCACAAGTTTGAAAAACTGCATTCGCCCACAAACACAGCTTCTTATTGGTGAGGTGCTGGTAGTTTTGATTAAATAGCAATCAATACATCAATCAAACCAGGTTTTTTTAATGTACGTCATAGATCTGGTCTGATCTGACTTGCGATCACAGAGTACAAATGCATGAGAATTATATTATTTGAATCGTGTTTGTGCAAAGGTTTATTTGATCTGAGTCCCTTCAAAGTATGATTCGAGATCGAGCAGTGGAGACTAGTGAAGGCCAATTTATTGGTAATGACAGCATTCATATCTGACTGGAAAAATAGACTGTTTGTTGGAGATAAAATCAACGTAAATCAGTACATTGGTACTTGACACCAGCTAAAGCCACCATGGACAAGTGATTTGTTAACTTGTTGAAATGAAAAGATTCTTTTTGTTTATTGGAAATTTGGCAGCATGTATTGTAGACAACTTTTTGGCAGTGGCTGGCCTATGGTGATCAGCCACTCTGTAACACTCATAGCCGGCAGAGTGAAGTGTTCGGGACAAATTATTGCTTTGCGACGTTTGACAAGATTTCAGATCAGATAAAGCCACATAACGTTCCAAATGAAACTTAACAATAAAAAATAAGAAATTCCTCACCAATCGCTCAGAGTTTCAACCTTGTATAACAGTTTCGCGTGGAGCTTGTATTGTTAGAGAATTTACAGTAATCTGTTATACTGGCTACTATCTTGACGAGCTGTCAATTAACAAATGAACAGAACCGTGAAATATCAAGGGGTGCTTTCCAGAATCGTAGGGTTTCTGGGCAAGCGTTTCCTCTTCTCCCCTCCCCTTCCCCCTTCCATTTTTTTTTTGCTCCCACTCTAACTTTCGTGCAATAACTCGATTGGAGATGTTTCCTACACAGGCTACCAAATTTAACACTTGAGACATTCATTTTTTATCTAAACCCACTTCCCCCAAGTCCTCAAATTTGTGCCAGTGCCCTTTGAAAAATGAAATCCGAAGGGTTTTTTTTTGTCCGCACTTTTTTTGAAGAAAAGCCAAACCCCCCTTTTCAAAAACCCGCCATCCTTGGGGTGGGGTGTGAATAAAAAATGCAGCATTCCTTTCTGAGACAGTATGATTTACATGAAATTGCTATGACTCACTCTGTAGGCTGGCTTAAAGCTTCTCAAAACATGGCGTGCGACAGAGTTGCATGCACGTTGTTGTACTGATGTAAATTGGCATTAAAATGATTTGACATGTGACTTGTGACCTTGTATAAGTTTTAGATGGCAGATAATAACCTGAGATGGCTCTTTATAATCACATGAGGAATTATGTCTCAGTGTCGCACTTTATTGCATAACCTCTCTTATTGTATGAGTTCATGACAATCCAACAGCCCAAACTCCCGTCATACCTCAAAAACTCAGGGCCATAGAAAGCCGTTAGCAACTAGGGGGTTCATTGATTTACCCAGCTCATTGCATTTGAAAAGGAGAGGGTTTTGGCTCCGGAGTACCTATTGAACTGGTCTCTGTAACTATGAAACCAGAAAATGTTTCACCTAGCTGCAAAGACATCATTGTTTCAATGCTCTGGGAGATGAATTTTTATTTTCAACTTTATGCATGCATGTTTTGCCTTTTTAGGAAAAAACTGGGGGGCAGGGTCAACCCCCCCAGCCCCTCCCCATGTTACAGCCCTGATACAGTTTTCCTTCCCAATAAAGTATCCTGTGTCAAGATTTTGGTGAATCTAGCTGCTCACATCAAGACACTGTGCATTTCCCAAGTTCAGTCAAATCCTGGGTCTCAACAGTGCCCTTCCAGACATTATTTCAGGCTATCTATTTGGTTTACCCAGCCTCTCCCTACATTTATTTAATGTAAAACATTAATATTATTGCATGTTACATGTATCTTATCTTCAGTCAAGTTCATTATCATGCCAGAGGGACATGTTCAGAACATGACATGTTCATTAAAGCAGTCATTTCTTGAGCTCAGAAAACATTTTGCATCAGAACTTAACCAGACACCCCAAATGATACTGCTGCTTTTTGATGGTATGTGTCACTTGTATTGTTGATGGTCATTAATTTGTAATACAATAATAATACTAAAAGCCCCCACCCCAAGCTTTTTTAGCCTTTGCTGTTGCTGTGGTTGTTGTTGTTGTTGTTGTTGTTGTTGTTGTTTAGGGATGGGGTCCTAATAGAAAAGACCGGTTGGTTGTCTTTTATCTTTGTTTCTCAAAAGGTTTCACTATAGGTTATTTTTTGCGTTGTTTCAGCCACTTACCACTATAGTCTCCAGCTTAAATTTTTACTTTACCTTATTGCCCTTATTGTACAGAGACTAGTTAGTAGTAATCATCAGTCAAAAGAAAAGTGGCTCTAAATCCAAAGTGACTGCATCATAAAGAATAATGATAATATTTTTAAGTGATGATATAAGATTTCATTTTATTTATACATGCATAATTATGGTAGTTAATTGTTTGTGGAGACCAATAGTAATGTGGTTGCACTACTAAATCCCAGGCAAAATATATAGTACTACCTTTTGTTTTGTCACTAGTTGTTACAGGTATCATAAGAGACCTATAAACTAAAATTAATATTTCTGAATGTAACAAGTCAATCTTTCACCTTCTGTTGACTTTCTTAATATGCCTTTGCACTCTCTCCGTAAAGGGAAACTTGTAGAAGATCAGACAGTGTTATCTGATCTGGGTGTGCAAGGTGGACAGACAGTTCAAGTGGAAATCCAGTCTGCAGATCCTGTTAATAAGCCTCTGAAGTATACAAAAGTATCACCAACATACAAACTGCCAGACAAAGTCAATGTCAAAGTAGAAATTGGTAAATATATTTTATGTTACAATTGGCTCCTTTTGCACTCAGTAAATTAAATTACTCAGCTGACAGTGTGCCAAATTCTTATTTGTCACTGACAATATTATTATCAAAGAACACCAATCCCATAAAACTTCTGCTGTTTTCGAGACCTGCCAGGAAACAGGTCCAGCATAACATCAACCCGCACAAGTGACAATGTAAAAGTTTTATCAGACAAATTAAAAATCACACCATTAAGTCCTATGTTGAGAAGGCGATCACAATCCTCTCTGAATGGGAATATGTAACAACCTTTCAGCCTGAATCAGACAATTACTTCAAGTCGTTTTCACTCCCTCAGCAACGTCTGAATCGACGGGCTGTTAATGCCATCCAGTGATGTCACTACCTTAAAAGGAATTTTCTTGTCAAAAATTATTTTTTTTAAATTTTATTTTCAGATGGCAGGGAAGTCGAGGTGGTTGTTCACATTGTGCAAGAAAACAGAAAGAAGCCATTCTTAGGAGGCTACAAACATAGACTAACAGGAGTAGAGTTCCATAATGCCGCTGCTCAAACAATTCCAAAGATCCGTGTACCATCTTCTGTTGAGAAGTTTCATCGAGATACTCAGACTTACAAACTTAGAAACAGAGTCCAGCAAACAACAAATACAACATCAACACAAATGGTATGCCATGAGTTTGATAAAATTGGCTGTTAAATGCTTAAAGTGTGCAGTTTTGTATTTTAATTTTGTTTCTTCGTTTATTAGACCAAAGATGGATGTTATGTATCAAATGTCACAGATAAAATACTGATTCCAGGCAGATATGTCACAGCTGAGGAGCATCACAGAAAAATTTTAAAGAAGGTCAGTACGTGATTGCTAAAATTCATAATTTGGGGGCTTTAAGAGTGTTTTATGATTTAATAAATGAGATTCTCTCTGTGTATTTCTGACAAAATCTACAAGCCGCAATGATCGCATTGCCATCAAGATCAAGTTTGAAAGCATTAGTTGTGCAATGTTAGCAAAGAAGTCTGTCAAAAAGTCTGCTGCACATTCAGAATTTTTGTGTTGCTTAATAGTTATTACAACAAGGATCCCAAAAGTGTGATCTCCTTCAATTAACCAATCAGAAGTTGAGGACCGTTTCCAGCTGGCTTCTGATTGGACTAAATCTGTATGAAAGGGTGTGAATAAGTCAAAAACAGTCACTTTTGGGCTCCTTACTGTAAACCTGTTAACTGTTATTAGTTGTTGTCACCATGGTTACATTACTCAAGCTTTCTATCAGTATTACTACGCAAAAAAGTTCTTGCTATACAACAATCGTGTTGAAAAAACATTAATTTAGTGGAAAACGTGCGACAAAAACATAGTCTGTAGATATCCATAGAGAGGCTCAATAATCCTTTTGATATATTTGACATATTTTCCAGGTTATTATCCTGCAAACATATTGGAGAAGGTGGCTAGCAAAGAATTATGTTCAAAAGCTAAGAGAAGATCGCATCCGACGCCAGGAATGGGAAAGACAGGAAGAGCTTAGGAAACAGAGGGAAAGAGCAGAAAGAATAAGAAAAGAATGGGAAAGAAGAATGAATCCCAAGACAAAGGAAGACTTTGATCTTCTTTATTCACATTTAGAGAGTAAGTTGATTGTAAAGTGCGCATGAAAATATGATGAAGAAATGTCTTAAGTGTAGAGGCTTGTCTTGATTTTCACATTTCTTGGTTGCAGCTATACTCGTTCAATAAAATTTTTGATAATTTGTCGTTACTTAACAGTCTCTTGAGGCTAACACTGCACACTCCCACATCATTAGATTTTTTTTAACTCTTTTTCTTGAGGGCGGATCTCTAGCTCTTACCCAACAAAGATTTCTCTCTGTAAACTTGGAATACGATGCCTGCGGCTTACTTACTGCTAATACAGTTTTGTATTGTTATTTTTCAAGAGTGGCGTAATGAAGAAATGGCACTTATAGACGAGCTGTACTCTGGTCCAGAGAGAAAAGCAGCCCTTGTTGGGCTGTTAGAACAGGAAGCACATCTCATCGCCTCCATTGATAGACACAAGCTGGTTGCTGATGAGGAGAACAAGGACAAGAGGATCAAGAGTTTTTTGAATAAGGTTTGCTCAACCTGTGTGTTTTTGTAATGTCGTGTAACTTACGATCTGAGAAATTGAAAACAGCCGACATTTCGCAACGTTATGCTTGAGTCAATTCCAGCTGCGCCGGATTGGCAAATGCCCGGCCCCCCCAGCAGTGCAAAATTTGCATATGCCCCACCCCCGAGACTGAAAAGGCGGGCAAATGCCCCGCAGTAGCCCGGGGGGGGGGGGGGGGGGGGTGCTGGGCGCAGCTGGAATTGACTGATGCATTACCACTGGTTTCCCCCGCAAAATAGTGAGTTTACGCTACAGGACGGCAGAAAGAAGGGAACGGCAAAACGCTTGTGTGAGACAAACGTGACAGCCCCATTTCTTATGTGTTTGGTGGTGATCTTCACTTAAGTTATTGTTTTCTGGTCTTTTACATGAAGAAGTCACGCTTGTCACACAAGGTTTGCCGTCTAAACGTTTGCTGAAATTCCATACTGATGACGTGTCACTAACCAGATCTGAGTAGTGCCTCTGACTGGTCATGGGAAATCTGCCTTAACCATCCAGAAGCACTACCCAGATCTGGGTAGTGGCACGTCGTCAGTACGGACTTTCTGCACACGTTTCTCAGTCGTCATTTCGCGTGAAAACTGGTGGCATCGCCAAATATCGGCTGTTTTCGTGATTTCAAAAATGATTCGGCTTGAAGAGTGGTGAAAAAAATGTTTTTCCAAATCTCTATGAAGATACAGTAGGCTTTTTCAAAGTCCTTCGCTTCAATTTTCCGGTTCCAGTAGTTTGCTCCAGCGCTCCCGCTCTCTCGATCGCTTTGCCGCCGAAAATATAAATTCCTAGCTCGTGCTTTGCACTCGAGAAAAGTTATGAGCTCGACTTTTGGGCAAGTCTAAAGATATTGATATTTGTGTCACAGAATGGAATTCTTCTCACGTAAAAATTAGTGAGTAACAAGGTTGATCCGAGTGGAACCATAGTAAACAATAGAAATTTTGCAAGTTATCATGCATGGATAAAAGTTGTTTATTCTTATGTGTTTCCAGGCACCTTCAATGGAACTAAGGTCGTACATTGCTTAATCTCGATTTGTCGAAATTAATGATTCTTAATTTACAGTTTCTTTACGTGCTTTTGTTCTCCCCGCTTTCCTTTTTAAACATGCTGTATATTTGTTTACACCGCTTTGTGCTCTGCACAGGCTGCGGCCCCAAAGCAATGGAAAGCTTTTGACGGAAAGATAACGGAGATGGACACGCCCTACACCATCCGCGCCCAAGAATTACGGGACATTTACAGTACGCTTAGCATGAAGTACCTAACGCAGGATGAAAGATTAGATGTACTGCTGACCCTAAAACATACTGTAAAAGAACACGACTGTAAACTGACGCAAGAGATTATTGAATTGATTGACAGGGAAGCTGATTTATTGATGAGAGGAGTCAAAGAGTCGAATCTAGAAGGTATATTTATAAGCAGTCCTGGATTACTCACATGCATGCTTTGTAAAGAACATTCCTGCATCATGTTCAGATGATGACCCATTTAAAACGTTTTATTTTATTTATTATTATCGTTTATCGTTTGTTTTCTTGTGGAAAATTAGCGACTGTTTAATTTAGTCTTTAGTCATTTCCTTCAAATCGCCACTTCCACAGCAAGTAACACTACACTGTAGAATGACCCTGGTGCTGTTCCGTAGTTCGGGGACGTTCTCTCGTCCTTCATTCTATTTGCGCGCGTCCCTCGCAGTTTGACACCGTTGTGAAACTTAAGGACTCCAGACGCAAGCAGAGCGTGATAGTGCGGTGATGCGCGTTGCGTCTGCCTCGTCTACAGGCTTTCCCAATGGCTCAGTGGGGAGCACGGAAAAAGCGAGAAGGGCGAGAGCTGGAGACAAGCGAGAAGCGCGTGAGGGGTATGGTGGGACGAATTAACCCGAATAAGCCCGCCAAGAAGGTGATCGAGGCGACTGGAGACGAGGCTAACAAGCCCCGCACTGTTGTCAATTGTCCTCCCGAAAGGAGCGTGCTAGCAAGCTCTCCATTTATGGCGAGTGAAGCGGGACTCCCCCAAATGAAGATCTTGTTCGCAGGCTATTCATAAAGCTACCTTACACGCGCTTATTTTGTTTTTCAGGGTTACGCAAGAGAATTTTAACTTTGTTTCTTCAGTATTGCAAAACACCTCTTTTCAACCCCGAGGCAGCTCGGATCATCAAGGTACAGTAATATTCCTCACTAACGTTTTATTCCCGCCGCAAAACATCACATGACACCTCCGTTTCAGTTCATTTTGCTCTCGTGATGGAAATTTTAAGGGAGTCTGGAACGAGAATGTTGTTTACTAGCGAAATTTGGGATTCATTCGAAATTGACTGTTATACAGGCTATTTTCCTTTCCATGATGGCAGTATAGTTTCTGGAGGATAGAAAAGAAGTTCGAATTCATAAATCAGTATGCAGCAGAAAATTACAACGCTTGACGCGAAAAATAAATTGCTCATACACCCGGTGAAAAAGGTTCCTAAGAATTCAGTAAAATAATTAGCTCATTTGTTACCTGACAGTGTACCGAATTTAAGGTTATTTTTTCTTTATGTACTTTTGCTGCGCATAGCAGGCCAAGACATGCCTTTTTCTTTAGTGAAAATGTTCTGCTTTTCTTCACCTCAAGCACGCTTAAACAATCGTCGTGCCATCAATTATATTCCTAATTGGATCCCCATCTGCCCTTTTGCAATGTATGGTAGCAAAACCTTTTATCTTCTTTCTCGTTTTAAGGTTCCACAAGATCCGTCAGTTTTACGAAAAAATATCTACTTCTGTCCAAGTTGCAACTCATACTTGCCGTCAACAGAATTCCAACTTTCATCCAATTCTCGGTGAGTCACAATTAAGATTAATTTTATTATTGTATTTTTTTCTTCAACCATTAATGTTAACCGTTGATAAAGAGTTATCGTCCGGGAAATTTAAAGTTAATGTCTTCAAATCTGATTATTTTTCTACTGAGTTTATTGTTTATTTGTTTCGATTTTGAAAATGTTTTATTAAACATATACTTTTTCCCACATTCCTCACTCTGGGCATCAGAGTTTTAAAAGTCACGTTTTGGCCAAAAGGCAATAGCACTCAGCTTAGTTTCCCCCTTTAATACTTTTCATTATATCCACACAAAAGTTAGACTGCGAGCAGTCTCTTATTTTTCTTTTGAGTCACAGTGGACGTATAGCACAGAGCACACGTGAGAGGCGAGCGGCGAAACTGCGAGGAACGAGGGTGATTTTTACTCGCCGTGCGTGGCGGAAAGAAGGACGACCGCTCGCGGTCTACAAAAAAGTGGTTTTCAAGGCTCGCCCAGTTGAATTGCTTTTTACCTTTTGTCCTAATTTGAGCAATTGTCAATCTGAATGTGAAGTTTGCTGTAGTGATGTTAACGTGATTCCAAATCTCTCTATTGTACCAAAAAAAGTTAGTGATGGTCACATTGAAACTGAGTGAACTCCATTCAGAAAACTGGCCCATTCTACCCTGTAAGCAGAGGTTTCTCTCTTGCGTGGCTTTTAGCGTAGGAAGTCGTTCGCGTCGCATTTGACGGCAACGACAACGCCTAAAAAAACAATAGGTTTAAAGGTGATGTTACACGAGACGATTCGCAACGACGATTTTTAGCGCAACACAGCGTTGCAATGTTGGAACAATGTTGTAACTATTGGAAACAATGTCGCAACAATGTTGCAACGCTATGTTGCGCTAAAAATCGTCGTTGCGAATCGTCTCGTGTAACATCATCTTAATAAGCAAAACAACAACTTTGTACGTGCATCACGCTTTTTTGTTCATTTCTTACGACGTGAAAATACCTATTTTCGTGTTTTATGGAGAACGTAAACAGGCAATGACGAAATTATATTTCGCTTTCTGA